TTTGATCATTGTATAATTGAAACCCAAGCACAAAAATGTATAAGTCTGCAACTGTACCTCATGATGTCTCACTATTAAAAAATTTTTTATTAAAAAAAAATCATACACCACGACCAAGTGGGATTCATCCCAGGGATGCAAGGATGGTTTAACATTCAGAAATCAATCAACATAATCCATCATATCAGCAAAAGTAAAGATAAAAACCATATAATCATATCAACAGATGCAGAGAAAGCATTTGACAAGATCCAACACCTGTTTATGATGAAAACTCCCATCAAAATGGGTTGAGAAGGAACCTTCCCCAAGATAGTCAAAACCATTTACAACAAACCTACGGCAAGCATTAACCTCAATGGGGAAAAACTAAGGGCCTTCCCTCTAAGATCAGGGACAAGAAAAGGATGCCCACTCTCACCACTTCTGTTCAATATAGTACTAGATGTACTTGCAATAGCAGTTAGGCAAAAAAAGATATTAAGGGCATCCAGATGGGAAAGGAAGAAATCAAGTTCTCACTATTCGCAGATGATATGATACTATATCTAGAGAATCGTAAAGCCACCACCAAGAAATTCCTAGAAACAATATACTTGTAAAGTCGCAGGCTATAAAAATTAATACACAAAAATCCATGGCCTTCCTATACGCAAATAATGACAGAGGAAAGTGACATGAAAAAACAATCCCATTCACAATCACGCCCCAGAAAATCAAGTACCTCGGAATCATTCTAACTAAAAAGGTAAAGGACCTCTACAACAAAAACTATAAAACACTACTCCATGAAATAAAAGGACACGAAGAAATGGAAACATATCCTCTGCTCATGGATAGGAAGAATTAACACTGTCAAAATGGCAATTTCCCAAAGCATTATACAGATTCAATGCAATCCCCATAAGGATACCCATGAAATTCTTCAAAGAAATGGATCAAGCACTCCTAAAATTCATATGGAACAACAATCGCTCACGAATAGCTAAAGCAACTCTTCGGAAAAAGATGTTGGGAGGCATTACCCTACCCAACCTCATACTCTACTACAAAGCGGTAATAATTAAAACAGCATGGTATTGGAACAAAGGCAGAGCCACAGACCAATGAAACAGGGTGGAATATCCTTACACACAACCCCAAATGTATGAACATCTAATCTTTGATAAGGGAGCAAGAAATGTGAAGTGGAGCAAGAAAAGCCTCTTTAACAAATGATGCTGGCATAACTGGATAACCACATGCAAAAAAATGGGCTTAGACCTCAACCTAACACCATGCACAAAAGTCAGATCAAAATGGATTAAAGATCTTAACTTCAGGCCAGAATCCATAAGGTACTTTGAAGACAAGGTCGGCAAAACCCTCCACCATATTGAGGCTAACAGTGAGGCTAACAGTATCTTTAAAGACAACACTCCACTGACCAACCAAGTGGAAATAGAGATAAACAAATGGGACTATCTTTTTTTTTTTTTATTAGTGAAACACCATGAGGTACAGTTGTAGAATTACAAATTTTTGTGCTTGGGTTTCAGTTATACAATGATCAAGTATTCATCCCTCCACCAGTACCCATTTTCCACTACCACTAATCCCAGTATCCCTCCCATCCTGCCTCTGTGGCAGGGCATTCTCTCTCTCCTTTGGGGTGCTGTGGTTTGCAAAAGAGGAATTGAGTGGCAATCATGTTCAGTCTATAATCTACTTTCAGTAAGCATCTCCCATCCTGGGCAGATCCTCCCAAAACCCTTTATTTGGTGCTCCCTTCTCTATCTGAGCTGCCTTTTCCCCTAGTGTGTGCAGCTGGCCTCCAAGCCATGGAGTAAACCTCCTGGTACTTATCTTGACTATTCTTGGGTGTTAGTCTCCTATTTTGTTACTTTATGTTCCCCAGATGAATGCAGTCTTTGTATGTCTGTCCCTCTCTTTCTGACTCATTTCGCTTAGCATGATACATTCAAATGGAACTATCTTAAACGAAGAAGCTTCTGCACCGCAAAAGATACAGTGACGAAAATACAAAGACAATCTACAGAATGGGAAAGGATATTCACCCAATACCCATCGGACAAGGGGTGGATATCAAGATATAAAAGGCACTGGTTGAACTCTGCAAGAAGAAAACATCCAACCCCATCAGAAAATGGGGTGATGAAATGAATAGAAACTTTTCTCAAGGAAGAAATACGAATGGCAAAAAGGCACATGAAAAAATGCTCTTCACCACCAATCATCAGGGAAATGCAGATCAAAACAACTATGAGATACCACCTCACACCACAGATACTAGCACACATCCAAAAGAACAAAAGCAACGGTGTTGGCGTGGATGTGGGGATAAAGGGACCCTCCTACACTGCTAGTGGAAATGCAAACTGGTTCAGCCCTTCTGAAAAACAGTATGGACGCTTCTCAAAAAATTAGAAATTAAGGGCTAGAGTGATAGCACAGCGGGTAGGGCGTTTGCCTTGCACGCAGCCGACCTGGATTCAATCCCCGGCATCCCATATGGTCCCCCAAGCACCGCCAAGAATAATTCCTGAGTGCAGAGCCAGGAATAACCCCTGAGCATCGCTGGGTGTGACCCAAAAAGCAAAAAAAAAAAAAGTATAGTCGAAGTGGCATCTGCACTTGTTTGTTCATTACAGCACTGTTTACAATAGTCAGAATCTGGAAAAAAACCCAAGTTCCCAAGAACAGAAGACTGGTTAGAGAAATTTTGGGAGGGCTGGAGTGATAGCACAGTGGGTAGAGCATTTGCCTTGCACGCAGCAAGTTCGATTCCCAGCATCCCATATTGTCCCCCGAGCACCGCCAGGAGTAATTCCTGAGTGCAGAGCCAGGAGTAACCCCTGTGCATCACCGGTGTGACTCAAAAAGAGAAAAAAAAAAAGAAATTTTGGTACATTTACATAATGGAATGCTATGCAGCTGTTAGAAAAGATGAAGTCATGAAATTTACATACAAGTGGCTCTACATGGAAAGTATCATGCTAAGTGAAATGAGTCAGAAAGAGAGGGACAGACATAGAAAGATTGCATTCATCTGTGGAATATAAAGGAACAGAATAGGTGACTAACGCCCAAGAATAGTTGAGATATGTATCAGGAGGTTTGTTCCATGGCTTGGAGGCCAGTCACACATGAAAAGGCAGCTCAGATAGAGAAGGAAACACCAAGTAAAGGGCATTGGGAGGATCCGCCCAGGATGGGAGAGGCATGCTGAAAGTAGACTATAGACTGACCATGATTGCCACTCAATACCTCTATTGCAAACCACAATACCCAAAAGGAGAGAGAGAACAAAAGAGAATGCCCTGCCACAGAGGCAGGGTGGTATAGGGGGAATGGGAGGGTGGGAGGGATACTGGGATCACTGGTGGTGGAGAATGGGCATTGGTGGAAGGATGGGTACTCGATCATTGTATAACTGAAACCCAAGCACAAAAATTTATAAGTCTACAACTGTGCCTTATGGTGTTTCACTAATAAAAATTTTTAAAAAAAGCTAAGTTAATATTTAGACTGATTAGTCACATCTATCAAGAGTATCCTGCCCACATGGCAAAGCCTGACAAGCTCCTCATGGCATATTCTATATGCCAAAAACAGTAACAAGTCTCACAATGGAGACATTACTAGTGCCCACTCAAGCAAATCGATGAACAACGGGAGGACAGTGCTACAGTGCTATATATAGTAGAAGAATAATAACCATGGCCAGGGAAAACAGTTAGGAAGACTGGTCAACAGCTGAAACTAACCACAAGTGTGTGTGGAGCTGAGGGTAGGTAAGACTGAGAAGAGATCAGTATGACAATAATAGCTTGGAATGATCAAGCTGGACAAGATTTGAGGATTAAAAGTAGGTAAGGGATTCTTGATAACCTTTCAGTATTAAAATTGCAATTCATAATACCCAAAAAGGGAGAGAGAGAGAATGTGTGAGAGTGAGAGAGAGTGAGAGAGTGAGTGTGTGTGTGTGTGTGTGTGTGTGAAAGACAGAGAGAGAGAGAGAGAGAGAGAGAGACAGAAGCACCTGCCATAGAGGGAAGCAGGGGTTGGGGGATGGGGGATGATGGGAAGGACCCTGGGGACGCTAGTGCTGGGAAATGTACACTGGTGGAGGAATGGGTGTTGGAACACTGTATGACTGAAATCTAATCATGAACAGCTTTGTAATAGTCTATCTCACAGAGGTTCAATAAAAAAATTAAAAAAATAAAAATTTTCAATTACAAAAATAAATAATAATAAAAATATCTTCCCCGCATTCGCCCTGTCCACAAAGCCCAATATACTAGTGCCACACCCAGACAAGAGATGAATGCCTTTTCAGGGGCCCTAGAAATAGTACAGCAGGTAAGACGCTTGCTATGCATGCAGATGACCCAGGTTCCATTGAGGCATGGCTTGGGGTCCCCCGCCACCCGCAGGAGTGAGCCCTGAGCACCGCCGAGTGCGGCCCAAACACCAAAAGAAAATCAAGAAGAGCAGGAGCGGCGGTCCGTGGTGGAAGGACAGCCGCCGAGAGAGGCCCACCGAGCTGCAGGGTTCCGAAGTCGCCTCTGCAAGTATAGCCGGCGCATGCGGGATCCGTGCAGCTCACGCGCCCTGGCCCTGCCCAAGTCCTGCAGCGCGGCTATCCGCGTGGGTCTCGCCGCTGCCTCGGCTCACGCTGCGCAGCGGCCCAGGGGGCGAACGGACGCCTTCCGGTGCCCGAGCTGACACCCCGCTGAACCGGCTCTCAGGGCTGTCTCTGGGGCTTCACGCCCCGCGCGCTGCGGGTTCCCGTCCCACCTCCACCGCCCCCTCCCCGCCCCCCCTGCCTCGCTCAGCAACCGGGGACACTCGACTCGCGAACGTCCCCGTCCCGCAGCGGGTGGGCCCTTCCCGGCGGCGATCCCCGGTCACCACCCGGGCCCGCCCCCGGCCCGCACCCCGCCTTCAGTCTCCGTGGCCAAAAGTACGCAGGGCCTGGAAGAGGCGCCGTTTACCTGAGCCGGGGCCCTCAGCTGGGCCGCCGCCATGAGAGTAAGGAACAGAGGGGCTGGGATCCGAACGAGCAAGGGATCCAAGAAAAGCGTGCTCCACCACGGCCTGAGACCGTCTCTCCGCCACGTAAATAACTTATCTCGCGCTGGCTCGGCCCCGCCCCAGGTTTTCGGAGGTTCTGAGAAGGTAAAGAAGCCGGGAAACGGCAATAAAACTGACCACGAGGAGACACCGGAAACCCGCCTAGATTCTAGGGCCTCACGGAACCGACTTTGTTCTGTGACCTTATTGGCTCAACGAGTGAGTCCTCCGCACAATGACTACTGGGAAGTGTAGTTCTTATAGGTCCTAGGCCTAAGTGAGGGGGAAAGGTTCTAGGAAAGAAGCTAACTGTCCACAACCAGGGAAGCTGGAAAAGGACAGGGCAGAGCCCTTAGGCCGTTACCTGACATCTGTGTTATGCATCTACTTACCTGATCTCCAGACCAATTGAGACAACAGATCTACCAACAGACCCAAGCCAGGAGGGCAAATTTGCCCTAAGTGTGTAGGATAACATTGGTTTATCCTTTCTCCCTTGCCCCAGGGAGCTTAAGTTTATTGAGTTATACCAATCACAGTGCTCCTGAGGCACTCTCATTCCTCTGTGTTTATCTTTAACCTCTTCTCTGTACTCTGTTTCCCCAACCAGTTTATCGATTACCCATATGTCCAAATCAGACTTGTGATTTGTAAGGTCAGATCTTTCTAAGGACTCTAGATTTTGTATTTGTAAGTGAAATATTACTTTCCTCCCTCCCTTATGTCCTTTGCACAGTTTACTTTTGAGCAACTTTTTTATACACACAGGAAGACAGATAATACTGTGCTTTGTAACTTGGGAGTTGACACCAAATAATATTTACTCCTGAGCATCTCTCATATTTACTCCACTTAAGCCTCAGTTGCCCTTAGTTCCTAGCACCCCAGAAGCAGGGTCCCGATGAAGGGATTGGATGGACCCAGTACAAGCTACCCTGGCATCAAATGGGACAGGTTACGTGGCATAAGACTTATAATAAGCTAGGAGAAGGGTCATAGACAAATTCTGTCATGACCCAAAGAAAAGTGATTGGACTAGGACCCTGCTAGGGATTAGGAAGGACTAATCTGGTCTAAAAACTATGGTCTGGAATCTATAGCGAGATGTCCCCAGGAGAGCCACCCTATAAAATTAATATATCTCTTACTGTGTCCATAAAAAATGACTAGAAAGATTATTAAAATAAAGTAAATCTGGGGCTGGAGAGGTAGCACAGAGGGTAGGGTGTTTGCCTTGCACGCGGCTGACCCAGGTTCGATTCCCAGCATCCCATATGGTCCCCTGAGCACCGCCAGGAGTAACTCCTGAGTGCAGAGCCAGGAGTAACCCCTATGCATCGCCGGGTGTGACCCAAAAAAGCAAAAAAAAAAAATTAAATAAAAAGTAAGTAAATTGGGGGTATGGTGCCGCCAGCAGGTCAATCTGTACCTGTGAGGCAAGTGCATCAGCAGCCTCATGGCGCCATCAGACTTCCAGATACCCCAAAATTGCTGCTGTGCCTTTGGCCAGACCCCAAAAACTTGGGGCAAAGTTTACCAAGAAAGTAAACGGCCAAAAGTTTGATATGTGGGAAACACACCCACAAACCACCTCCGGCTCAGCTATATAATTGGAGGCAAGGCCTCTTTGGTTCCTGATTGAACTGCTTAATGGACATGATCCCAGAGACTCAGAAACGAATCTTGGAAACCAACGGCCTTAGGTAGAAATGCGTCTGGTCCCTGCAGTAGGTTACCGGTGCTGGGCCAACCCAGGTGGGAATAGGTTTCGTGCCTTGGCCTGTTCCCCCTGGCGGCCCAGTGGCCGCCATCCTTCAGAGGCCACTGGACAGTCAGGTTTGGGCCCCCAGTGACGAGACACACAGGGCCTTACGGGTTGGGGTGGAGCCGGGCTTGTCCTCCCCACCCTAACGAGACCCCAAGTCATCGCACACAAATGGCCTCTCTGGCTCCTGATCCAGCTGCTTAACGGCCATGATCCCAGAGACTCAGAAACAAATCTCAAAACCCAGTGGCTTTTGGCAGAAATGCATCCGGACTCCACAGTACGTTACTATCGCCGGGCCACCCCAGGGAGGAAAGGGTGTTGTCCCTCCGCCTGCTCCCTCTTGGCGACTTGGTGGCTGTCATCCTCCAGAGGCCATTGGACAGTCAGGCTTGGGCCTGCAGTGATGATACTTGTTGGGCCTCACGGGATTGGGGGGGGGGGGAAGCCGTGCCTGTGCTCCCCACCCAACGAGACCCCAAGTCATGGCCCACGAACGGCCTCTCTGGCTCCTCATCAAGCTGCTCAACGGCCATGATCCCAGAGACTCAGGAGCAGATCTCTAAACCCTGTGGCTTTTGGCAGAAATCCCTCCAGATTTAAGTGTTAAAATTTCGGAATTTCAAAACCACACAGCCCTACTGAAGCCACACGACATCATATGTTATTCATAACCAGCAATAGAACACAAATTGTCTATTGTTGCCTTTTCAGCAGATCTGAGTGTTGGGGTAAAAATCTCAAATATGGTGGGTCTGGTGTCGAAATAGTGAATGTGATCAAAGTAGAGAGAGAGTAATGTAGAAATCATCTGCCCCACAGGCAGGGGGAGGGTGTGGGATGGGGTATACTGGGAGTTTTGGTGGTGGAGAATGGGCACTGGTGAAGGTACGGGTGTTTCATTGTATGACTGAGACTTAGACCCAAAAGCTTTGTAACTGCTCTCACGGTGATTCAATAAATAAAATTATAAAAAATGGAAAAAAAAAGTAAGGTGGAGTTCATGCACAATTCAATCAGCTAATCAATGGCTGAATAAATAGCAGTACTCCTAGCTCCTACAAAAAAATAAAAAAATAAAAAGTAAGTAAATCTAAGATGATTGTTTATGGACTAAGGAAAGGAGAAGTATGTCCTTAGATGAAATTCCACCCTTCTGCAAATTTCCGAGATTTTTGTCTTAGAAGAGCTTCCCCTGAAGGTCTTTACATACATCAATTGTGCTATCTGACCTAGGTGGGGTAGTTGCTACCCTGAATGCTGGGAGGTTGTATTCTAGACTAAGGCTGCAAGACGGAGCATGAAGAGACTAGCATGGTGGACAGTAGGAATACACAAGTGGATGAGACTGGAAGGAGGCAAAGGAAGACAAGATTGGAATAAACTACAACTGATCACCAACCAATATGGTGACCCTGTTCCTTCCTTCATGTGCTGTGTATTTAAAAAATAAATACGAAAGTCCACAGCGCTCTCTCTCTCTCTCTCTCTGTCTCTCTCTCTCTCTCTCTCCCTGTGTTTGATGGTCTCAGGCCACTTCACCCACATGGGGATGGCCGATGGTAATGGGCAGACAAAGGAGGGAATGAAGACTAGGCTGGTTGATATCAATTGCAGTTTATTCCAATCTCGTCTCTACTCTTCTTCCTTTATCCCTTCCCTGACCCCCTTCATTTTTTTCTCCGGATTTTTCTCATTCATTCTTCTCCATCCTCCTTCTGGATCCCCCAACCCAGTCTTACAGCCTTAGTTGTATCCTAAAGCATGAGGGGTTGGGGATTACACATAGGTGTGGTCATACAATCAACAGAGGTAAAGTTCTTCCCTCAGGGGAAGATTCTTCTAGGACAAACTCTCTTTCAGCAGGATGACCCACCCAAGGGCAAGATACCATCTATGGGGGGCTGGAGCAATAGCACAGCAGGTATGGCATTTGCCTTGCATACGGCCAACCCAGGTTTGATTCCCCAGAATTCCATATGGTCCCCTGAGCACTGCCAGGAGTAATTCCTGAGTGCAGAGCCAGGAGTAACCCCTTTGCATTGCCAGGTGTTACCCCAAAAGCAAAAGAGATACTATCTTGGGTGAATTTCTCCTTTCCTTAGTCCAACAAACATAAACATTCATAATATTAGTCATTTCGTATGGACACAATAAGAGATACATTAAGCTTATAGGATTGCTCTTCCTGGGGGCATCTCGCTATAGATCTCAGACTACATGTTCAGGCCAGATTAGTCTTTTCTAACCCTAGCAGGGTTCTAATATAGTTGTTACAATTTGGATCATGACAGAATCTGCCTATGATCATGCTCTTAACTATAGTTAAATATTATGGCGCTTTGGCCAGGCCCATTTCAATGCCAGGTAGCTCACAGATTGCCCTGGGTCTATCCAGTCCTTTTTTTGAACCCTGATTTTGGGATGCTAGGAAATAAGGGTAGCTGAGGTATAAGTCAAGAAAACAGATGCCCAGGAGTGAAGATTATTCAGAGTCAACTAACTCCCAAGTTACAAAAGCATAGTATTAACTGCTCTGAAGTAAAAGGGCATAAGGAGAAGGAAAGGCAATATTTCACTTATGAATACAAGTCCAGTATCCTTAGAAAGATCTGACCTTACAAGTTAACAAAGTCTAATTAGGAGAAAAAGGTGATTGACAGGTTGGGGAAGCAGAGCACAAAGAAAGAGGTTACAGATAAACAAAGAAATGAGAATGTCTCAGATAACTGTGATGGGATCTAACTCAATAAACCTAAGCTCCTTGTGGCAATACTCTATATGTTGGTTATTCTCTATATATTATGTAGAGAAAGGACAAACCAATGTTATTCTACACATGCTACCTCAGATTTTGAAATGAACAGGATTTATTCCAAGTTATCTGTTATTGAAATAAGCATATTTCAGGCTACCTGATTCTGAAATGGGCCTGATAGTTCAAGCAGCAATGAGCATTATGTATTGTTCTTCCTTTGAGTATAAAATGAGTACACCTCATTCATGATATTTTATGCTGATTTTAGTGTTTCTATGTCTGATACTGTGAGTCAACTAATTTAGTTTTGTTTTAGTCACAATAATCTCTGTTCAGGAAACTAATGTAATGTAATATAGGCCTCCCATTTGCAAAGCATGCCAACTTTTATTTTATTTTATTTTAAATTTTTTTATTGAATATTCATGACATAAACCATTACAAAGGTGTTCATGATTGGGTTTCAGTCATACATTGATCCAACACCCATCCCTCGACCAGTGT